ATCCACGGGCTGCCCCGACGCGAACTAAGTTGCTCGCCTTCGACCGATGGTCTTTCCCGAGCGACTCGCAGCCGGGCCCAGGCGCGACATGGTCCACAGACCGAGCGCCGCGCCAAGTCTTGGAACCGCTGCATCGCGCGTCCGAGCCCGGAGCGAGGCAAAGCCGTGACGTCAAAACTTCACGGCTTCGCTGCTCTTTGAGCTGGTTAACTTTAGCTTAGCCGGCAGTGTCCCCTGACCGCGGCGCCCGGGAGACTTCCCGGGAGCGCTCTCAGGAGTGGCCGCGGCGTGGGGGAGCGGCTCCGCACGCGCCGCGACGACAGCGACGAGGACAGCGCGCCTTTATTCTTGGCCCTCGGCGGTCTTTGAACGGCATGTGTGGTTTTACGCGCCGCCGACGAGGACCGCGCGACACCGCGCCGCGCGCTCCAGAAGGGTCCCTTCGGGCGCCACATCCGGGACGACGCGCCGCCGGCTGAGCGCGGGCGCCGGGCCGGTGCGCCACGACGACGTCGCCGCGCTACCTTCGTGGTGCTATATACAGGCGCGCCTGCGGCGCGCACCCCGGGAGGGGTTCGCGGCCGCGGCGACGCGCGCTAGCGCGAGTTCGCGAGGTCGCCGACGAAGGGCCCAAAGTCCGGCGCGTCGTCGTCCGCGGGCCCGTCGCGGTGCGCGTCGTGGTGGGCGTCGCGGAAGCGCCGCCGCACGGCGCGCGACGCCCAGCGCGCGGACCAGCGCGCGCGCGAGATGGGCGCCACCAGGAGGCCCGCGCGGTCCGCGGCCAACAAGCCCGCCTTGCCCGGCGCGTCCGCGGTCTCGCCCGCGACGCAGCGGAGGAGGAACGCGTCCCAGACGGCGTCCGTGTCGTCGAAGGCGCCCTCCGCCGGCGCGCCGCCGTCGTCCGCCGCCTTGCCGACGGCCTTGAAGAGCACCGCGGGCCGGAGCGGCGACCGCGTCCAGAACTGCTCCGCGCGGTCGCCGTCGTCGTCCGCCGCGGCCGCGGTCTTCCCGGCCGCCGACTGGATCAGCAGCGCGTCGAGGAGCTCGTTGGTCTCGCAGGACTTGCGGAGCACGGTCTCGTAGGCCGCGCGCGACACGTCGTCGGGCCCTTGCAGACCCTCCCAGGCCGCGGCCGCGACGGCGGCGTCGACGTAGCGCTCCACGAGCTCCTCCGTCGTCGCGCCGTAGGGGAGGAACCAGCGGCCGGACCGCGCGTACTCGCGCGTCCCGTCGAGGACCTCCGCGAGGCAGCGCAGCGGCAGCAGCGACCGCTCGCGCGCGTAGCGCTTTGCCGCGCGGCGCGCGACCTGGGCAGCAAAAGGGTGATTCAACGTCGCTTCAACGTGAGTGTTCCGCGCGCGCGCGTTCCGGAAAAAGCATCCACGCTTCGAGACCGTTCCGAGAGATGATCGCTCGTCCAAAAATCAGCCGAAACGAGTGAAAAATGGCCGAGATCGGAGCCTTTGAAGTTGGGAATTTCGCTCTCTTTTGCTGCCCTGCGCGCGACGGCGGCGGCCGTGGCCCGCGATTTCAGGTCCTCGAGGTCGCCCGTCTTGCGGGTCTCCCGGTAGAGCCGCGCGGCCGACTCGCGGCGCTTGCGCGCCGCGCGGCTCGACGACCGCGGGTTCCGCGGCCGCAGCGGGTCCGCGAGCACGCGCGGCAGCAGGCTCAAATAGAGCTCCCGGGTCTCCGCCGCGTTCAGGTCGCCGTAAGGTGGGGGCTTCCCGTAGAGCCGCTCGAGCGTCGACACCTGCGAAGGAAAAAACGTCGCCTCCGGGCGGCGCGCGGGACGTCGTCTCCGCGCGGCGCGCGCGCGCCGGCGCCGAGAACGACGTTTCCGGGCGGCGCGCGCGCGCGCGCCCCGGGCGCGGACGCGGCGGCGCGCCATGCCGTCCTCGTCCGCCGACGGCGCCGCGGAAACGCCGCGATACTGCGCCAGGCGCCGCCGCGCCGCCGCCGCGGGTTGCCACGCTTCAGCGCAAGAACACCAGGTGAAGACCATGGCGCATCCGAGGGCGATCGCGGCCGCGAGTCTTCGCGCCATGGTGCGTGTGATAAGTTGGCGTCCGGAGAGTCCTCACGTCGCCGTTCGCATGCCAGGAATCGCGCCTGCGCTCAGCGCGCGTGTCGACCACGTTCCGACAGGAGGCGCCTCCAATCTCGATCGACTCAGA